GGTGAGGTTAGTCTCCTGTGGAGTCCGTTTCTTCAGCCTCAAGTCCCCTTGCTCCCAGCTACGAGGCTCCTCAAAAGAGGAAGCCGAAATGCACAGTCCTTTGGGCTGTCCTGGCTGTGGGAAGGCAGAGCTGCCCAGACTGCTGCGTGCAGGCTCGGGAAGAGCTTCCCATAGGCAGGACATCCTCAGTGTGGACATCAGAAACGGCGGTCCCCCTGAGGGATGCAGTTGCCGTCGTGTCGAGAGATGAGGAACAGAGCCCAGGGTATTTATTCACCACTTTGCATGCTGTGTTGCTCCCTGCGAGGAGCAAAGCAATGGCATGGACAGCGAGATAACGTGTCGTTGCTGCAGCTGGGCTTGCCAGGAGCCTCCTCTGCTGCTCCCAGCCTGCAGGTGCATTTGAGGTCAAGCAGAGGAGAGACTCCTGAGATCAGGAGCACTTGGCATCGCTGCTCTCCATGGCAGGGAGGGCCCAGCAAAGCTTTGGCCACCTTAAGCAGGCTGCTCCCTGCTCCAGGGAGCTGGCCTTTGCATGCTGCAGGAGGGTCAGGATGTGCTGGGCATTTGCTGGATCCACTTGACCGAACTCTGTAAATGAGCCTTTATATAACTCTACTTTCTGATTGTCTCCAGCACCTCCAGCCACAGGCATCCAAAAAGGCTGCACACCTGCTGGCTATGAATGGGCTGCAAGGGGCTGGTTCCCCCAGTTGCTGTGAAAAGTTTCCCATTCCTGCAACAAAACCTCACAAGGCAGCACCAGATCCTCTACGTTAGACTCAGGGTGCCATAGCGGTGAACAGGCTGTTCCCATTATTGCTACACAAGGATCCTGCAAGCTGTCCGGCAGCTGGGACAGGCCCTGGAAGGGGACATGCACAGCCTGGCTCCTCTCACTCCGATGGCTTCTCCCAGGCTTCCCCAGCCACGTCCCTGCTCTCCGTGCCAGCTGGAAACCCAGCAGCCCAAGCTCGCGTTCAGTAGTACCGAGTGTACCTGGTGTATTGGGACTAAGTCCATCCCACTGCTCTCTGCAGGGGAACGGCTCCCCGGGGGCACGGGCAGCTGTCCTCGGAGCAATGGAGAGCATCCAGCTGACACTGGGACAGGTCCCTGTGCTCCCCCAGATGGGAGCTCAGCGGGGCGCGGTGTTCGGACACAGTGCAGGAGCACGGTTCTCACGAACGCAGTCTGCCCGCGTAGGCAGGCTGCCTGGAGAAGAGCTGGGAACTCAGTGGCCCGGGCTGGCTCCCTGCGAGCGGATGTTATTTTTAACTCCCAGTTCCTCTCTTATTTCTGCCATGCAGCGACTGGTTCTGCTGTTTGCTGAGCGATAAAGAGCCCTTTTATTTTTTTCTCCTCTGCTATTCCTAGGATATTTTTAGGCTTTTCTCGATGGGTCTTTGCCGCAGACACTTTCAAAGGGCTGGAGCAGGTGGCTTGCTTCGCGTGCCCAGAGGAAGAGCAGAGATACGCAGGGCGGGAGGTGCCGGGAAGGAGAAGGGCTTCCCGAACCGGATGGGGAAAGCACGTGCCTTGGAGCACCAGCTGCCCTTGCTGCACGCAAGAGCAAGCTCCTCTTCTCACATGCAGCCATGGCATGCAAGAGTCGGCCTTCCCCCGAGGGAGCCGTGATGCCCACATCTTCCCAGCTGTGCCAGCAACAGCTTTCGCCTCTCCAAAGCCCAACCAAGGGAGACCCTCCACGTGGTGCCAGCAGGGCTGGAGGTCCTGCTGCAGCCTGGGGCAAGGTGGGTGTGCGGAGGCACAGGGAGGGACTTCTGCTCGAGGGAAGCTGATGGGACAGGACCTGGGAAGAGGTACAGGGCTTAGGATGCCCAGAGAGGGTCAAACATTGTGGCAGCACAGGAACCGCCAGATGGGTCCAGCAGAGCTGGGGTCAGCCAGTGTCATATTCAGGCTTGGGATAAGGACCAGCCCCATGGCACCCTAAGTGGGACAGAAGACTGTGAGAGACATGGTGCCCATCAGCGTTGTGGTGTACCAATACCATGGCTGGAGCCTCTCCACTGGTGGGGGTGATGCTGCCCTGTCCCCAAAACAGAGGACACAACATGAAATAGCACATCCCGAACCCCTTGCCGTGCTCAAGAGAAGGAAGCGCTCTTTGGGTGGCAAAGAAAGAAACAGCCGCTATCTTCATCAGGCAGTGAGAGTCCGGCCTGAGGCTGGGGTCCTCTGATTGCAACCCCCCAAAAAAGACCATTTCATCACAGTGGGGCTGGGTCAGGACTCTCTCCTCCTGAGGCAGGAGGAGGAAGTGGTAGTGTGTGGCCCCACAGCCCTTTTTCCCCTAGAAAACTGCAAAACCGTGAGCTTTGTTGCAGCTCTGAGAAGCTCAGAAAGAGCCAGAACTTGCTGCAGGACAGACGCCCACATCGGCCTTCAGCCAGCTCGAACCTTCCAGGCTCTTACGCAGAGCTGAAGCCCCACCACCACTGCTCAGCCAGGGCGTTGCGAACCTCCCCACGTCACAAGACCCAAACAGTCCCGACCAGCTGCGTCCAGGAGCTGGGTTGGGGTTTTTTGTTTTTGGGTTTTTTTTTTTTATTATCAGGATCTTGCTGAGATCGGCTGTGATCTCAGCGAGTGGGTCATGTTTGTGCAGCAGTTTGTAAATGCAGGTTGTTATGTAAGTGCTCAGGGTTACTCCAGAGGCTTGGCTGGCCCTGCCTCCCCCCCGTGCGCATGTGCACAGGGCACTGCCTGCCTCCTCGCCGGCGCTGTTAGCGGGGTAACGAGCACACGCATCCCTCTGTGCCTGTGGGAGCTTCGTTACTGTCCCAGCTCTTTATCGAGGTGCGAAGGGTGTGCGTGCATGTGCATGAGCCACTGCAGCGGCGCCTGCGCAAGGGCAGTTACCTGAAGGTGTGAAGGGCTGCGCCCCCGGGGGGGGCGTGTGCCGTGGGGCTGCCAGCCACACACTCGGGCAGTGCTCACCGCACGCTCCACCGCGCGCGTCCAGCAGCAGTGTTTACCCTCCGCTTGCTCCCGACAAGGCGCTGCTCTCACCACTGCCAAGAACGCCTGCGCTTGCTCCAGTAACCCAGCTCCTGAAGGTCGCTGGCTGGAGGCCGGGCTTGCATCCCAGCTGCCTGTTTTTATTATTGATTGTCCTTATCATTGCTCGGAGAGAACACCATGTCCCAAGCATCCGGGGGCAGGACGGGGCTCGCTGCCTCTTCTGATGCCTTTTGCCCAAGCTCTGTCTCTCCCCAGTGGAGAACATGCAAGGACTGAGTGCCCCGCTGCCTGCCCTTGCCTCTGCCTGCATGCACAAGCTGCGACGCCAGGAGCCAGGGTCAAGAGGAGAAAGTAGCCTCTCCTCTGTTCCCAGCTATCTGCTGCCATGAGCAAACCACACGTTCCCCTTTTCTCTTGCCCCCATCTCCATCCAAAGACCGGGTTCCCCGCACAGCATCAGGCCCCAGCACGTGCCCCTTCCCGGGGAGTGCATCCCATCACCCTGCTGCTGTCTTGGCAAGGGTCTGACTCCCACCATGCCCTGATCCAGCACCCACCAGCCTTGAGCCTGCAATGACTTGGTAAAGGATGGGGAAGCCTGATCTGCCACCAGTGTCAGAGTAAGCGGCGGTGCTGCTCTGTCATAGCAGTGCCCGGCTGGGCCAGCACAGCCATCACATGTGGTGCGGGGGGAACAACCAGGTACAAAACGATATAAGCAACCCTGGGCTGTGAGCAGCGGTGACACTGGCTGGGTCCTGTAACTACAGCAGTCACTTGACCGTGCAGTAAAACTCCAGTTAAACATTTTCATTCATCCTGTGGGTGAGATACGGAGCGAGCAATAGGTGTGTGCCCTGCCAAGGCAGTTCTAGGTGATGGCACCTGAGCACAAGGGAGCCCTGGGGGAAACCTGTGAATTGGGAATTGTTTCTACCTGGTGGGAAAATCTGGCTTTGGGGGATTGCCAGTCTTTTTTTTGCACAGAAGCAAAGGAAATCTTCCTTCCTCCTCCACTACCTCCTGAGGACACAGCGAAGATACCGTCTCAGCTCTGCCAACACTGCCATGGGTAACGCAGAGGGGAGCAGCCCCAGGGTGGCTCTAGCTTGCAGGAAGAGCAGATGGTCCGAGCCAAGACAGGGAGAAAGGGAGCACAAAAGGCTCCTCCTGCCCTGCCAGACACCCTTGATGGAAGCCAGATCTGCCTCCATGCCTGCCTTTGCCAGCAGGGACTTGCCATGCTGTCCCACCTCCACTGCACATGGGCCACAGGACACCCCGTAGGCAAAACACAGGAGAGGAGGTAGTGTGCCCAAAGCTTGACTCATTCCCCCATAATACCACCTCGGTAACAACAGCAATTACTCTACATTAAAACCATGATCTGCCTGTGTTCTTAGGTCAGCACAGCCACAACGCATGGTGCATACAGTTATATATAGATGACATATTAGTGGTGCCTTCCCAGCAAAGCACATCTGCTCCCTGCCCACCTTGTCCACCACATGCAGGGACCTCAGCCCCGATGACAGGGGACATGGGGAGAATGGCCACCCCAGCCAATAGGGTGATGGTGTTTGCCCTAGGCACGGGTCCCTTTCATGCACTAGGGCTTTGCTGGAGGACTCCCCACAGGCACGGGTGTCACGCCATCTCTGCAGCTCTGCCACTGCCAGCCCAAATGCCAGAGGGATGGGCACAGGGGCACCAGGGTGGCAGTAGGGGCATGTCCAGGAGGCAGCAAAAGAAAGGAAAAAAGGGAGGAAACAGAAAAAGAAACAGAAAGAGGAAGTGAAAGAGAAGGAGTGAAAGTGAGAGGGAGACCAGAAGGAACGAAGGAAGGAGAGAGGGAGGGGGGGAAGGAAGGAGGAAGGGAAGAAAAAAAGGGAGGAAGCAGAGTCCTCCCAGAGCCCTCACCCCCAGTGACCTGTCCATGACAGGAGACCTGTGATTTCCCCCATGTTTTCTCTCTCCAGGCACTTGCTGATGTTTGGATCCTTTGCCGGTTGATGGAGGAACTCAAGCTATGCCTTTCCCAGGCAGGTGTCGGCTGCAGCAATGAGTCTCTGAGGAAACCTCCGGCCCTGACCAAGCAGATCTACAGCTCCTGCGAGGCTGTCGCTGCAACCCAGAAGCACAAGGTCATCCTGCAGCCTGCTGAATGGGAGCGCATCCCCCACCCCGGTACCTGAGAGAAAAGCCTCCATGGGACAGTTTCATGTAGCAACAAATACCAATCACCCACACACATCAATCACCCAAGTGTTAACTCCCTGTGCCGCATCTGCAGCAAACCAAGCAGTGCCGACAGAGCCCAGCAGCAAACACAAGGGCTTCACATCAGGCTCTGAAATACTTTAAGGGAATGGCCAGGATCTCTGTCACTTTGGTCACTTTAAATCAAACTGGCCAAAGCACTGGAAAACATATTGCAGCAGTGTCCCAAAAGTGGCCTAGGAGACACAGGGAGGAGAGCCCTACACTGCTCTAGGGCTTGCTGCTACTGGGAGCACAGGGCACCCCAGCTGTCCTGAATTCATGTGCATCCTCATGCTGGTGGCTTCCCACAGGAGGGTGTGGGGAAGAAGGCCTTTGGAAAGGGTCGTGTTGTGCCAGACATCAGCTGCTGACGATTTACAAATGTTGCCCCAAATAACTGGATTTTCCTGTTGTCCAGGCAGCTGTGGATGCCATGCTTGCTCGCGGCTATCCGCAGGGACCCGCAGGCTTTCCAAATACCCTTTACACTCCTCCTTCATCAGCAAGGTCCTGGCCCCTTGGGGACACTTCGTGGAAAGCCATGTGTGATGCCAGGGTTTGAAATACCCATCCCCTGCAGGTGCCGGGACTGTGGGGTGCAGCACATGCCAGGCTGTGATGGGGGAGAGGAGTTGCCCAGGGACACGCATGGCACTGCGCATGGGCACACCAGCCAAATCTGCACCACCTGGCACAACCCTCCCCAGTACTGGACTGGACCCTGGAGAAAGCTCAGCCTTCATTTACTGAGAGCTTTATATGTGTCTGTTGAGAGCACAGTGGGACTGCAGGGCAGATGAAGCGAGCTGCAGCTCCACGACTTTAGCTGGTCAAATTAAACCGTTTTTTAGCATGCTAATTACCATACATCAGCCAGCATGTGATGGAGCACGCCCTTTTCATGCTACAAACCTGCTGGTCTTTGAGACGTTTCCAATATGCCAGAAGACACAGCAGGGTAGAGCTGTCCCAAAAACCTGGAGGGCCCTGGCAAGGGTCACCCTGTGCCCTCCAGGACACATGCAAACAGGACCAACATTGCTGCAAGGCAAGTCCTTGGGACAGGGACCCGACCAGCACAGGTCTCACCTAAACTTGCCCCACGCGCTTGGAAAGGGAAAGATAATGGGTAGTTCATCGCCAGGACACAAGAACGGCCCCATGGTGAGATGGGGCTGGTTGGGTCACCTTGGGGATAGTGGCACCCCAGCCCAGCCCTGTAGGGTGCCACCATGCCCCAGGCTACCCAACTACTCCTTGCCTTGACTTGTGCCTAGGACAGCCCTTGCATGGCAGGGTTTATAGGGCCAGACAGGGGCAGCTGGGCCATCAGCAAGTAAGTTTTTGCCTTGCTGGGGACAGTCCCTCCGTGGGGTCAGACATGCTTACCAGAGAAGAGTGGAAAATTCCTCTCACCATGCGGACACTCCCTGAAGCCCAAGCACATCAGCTGTCGTCTCACAGGACTTGGCATGCCCCAGAGTGTTTATCAACACCATTTCGCAAGGGCCATGGCACATGGCTTGGCAGGGGCATGCAAGCCGCTTGGGCAACCAGCTCTGCTGAAAGCTGGTGCTCTTGGAAAACAGTCCTGCAGCCTGCCCAGGGCAGCGAGTCATGGCTGGGAGTCCAGTGCAGGGCCATCATCATCTAAGTGGCCATCAGCGCCTGATGGCCGTCAGCATTTTCTTCTTTCTGGTCTCTTGAATTCAAGGTACTGAGCTCTGATCTTTGCTGTTGGCCCTATCTCAGCCCTGCAGACCCCTCCTCCACACTCCTCACAGGGCTGGCTAACACACAGGGCTGGTCTCTCTTGCTAGGTACCCATCATCCAGCTACCTGTCAAAAGATTGAGAGTTTAGCACCAATCTCACCAGTTTCTTCCAGCCTGCTTGCCTGCCCATCCCTAGCTGTGTTATTAGGCTGTTAAACTCTGCTCACTGGGATGCTCCATTTCCTGCGACTCTCCCAGCACACCCTTAGCATGTACAGAAACACGGGATAGTGCCAGTCTCCAAGGCACTGTTCAACTCAGGTCCACAGAGCAGATTCCAGCTCCAGAATCCATCCCTGAGTCACATCTGCATCCAGAGCCCCCTGTAAATATCCAAACACCTCTCCTTGGCTTTGGTTTCACCTGGTAGGGTTGTAAATTACCTGAATACACTGGTCCCCCCTTGCCCAAGGTGTGCTGCTTCTTCCCCCTAGGGGAAATGGCTTGGGAGGGAGTAACGCCACTCCCTCCGAGGGGTTTGGAGGTATCAGCAGGAGCAACAGCATGAATATGATGATGGCACACCTGGCTGAGGGCTGCCGTGCAGAGGCATGGACCAGACGGTTGCATGCTGCTTGAGAGATGACACAGGCCAGCAGGGCCAGCCTGTCCCCAATTAACTTCGATGTGCAGAACTGGCACAAACAGTCCCCTCGGGCAGGGAAGGAAGCGGGCACATCCTGGACGATGCTGGCTGAGCAGGACAAGGGACATGGAGCTGCAAGCAGGCCGGCCCTGGAAACCAGAGTTAGCCCTGCCATTGCCCTGGCTGGTGCTGGAGATGGCCCACCCTAGCCCATGGTGTTCTACATGGTCATGATCATGGTGGTCACCAGGAGGGTGTTGAGAAGGGACAGTGTCAGGAATGGTGTTCTGCACTGCTGGAGACACCCTGGAGCCCAGGAAATTTCTTAGCTGTTCCTGAAATCTCAAGATGCACCCCTAAGCTCTGCTCAAGTAGGAAAGGGGTAGCGCGTTCATGGGATGGGTGTCAACCCCTCCCTGGGCTAAAGAAGCAAACATGCCCCCCCTGCTGCAGCCCCTCAAAGGGGCCAGCAGCTCCCTTTGGCACCACAGGGTTGCAGGGCAGCCATCTCCCCCAGCAGCCAAAGCCCCTCATAGGAGAGCTGGGGGCACAGGGACCGAGGAGGGGGGTCCTGGAGTGGGGACCATCTGGAGAAGGCCAGCAGGCTCCTGAAGTTAGCATCATACAGACCCTTCCCCAAACCTTCCAGCAGCTGGGGCTCGTGCCCCAGCGCAGCCGGACCTGCAGCAGAGAGCAGGCTTCGTACAAGCCAGCCAAGATGTTCGTCGGAGCAGAGGCATGCATAAACATTTTGTTTAATCAAGGACTCTGGGCGAACACAGCGTACTCTGGCTCCATGCAGCGAGAACAGCTGCGGCCTTGCAGGGCAGGGGCCAGGGACGCCAAACAGCGGTGGCAGAGCGACCTCCCGTGGCACTGCCCCAGCCCCGGGGTGCTCAGCACCATTGCTGCGATGGCAGCGGGCACAGGGAGCCCAAAAACACGTGCCTTCCCCATCCCACAGCTCTGCTCCAGAGGAAAGTTGTCCCCCGCCTGCCGGTGGCCCCGGCCGCATCCAAAAGGACAATCACGCTGGCAGCCATGCTGTGCAAGACTTGGTTTGGTCCAGCCCTTCTGCAGTCCTGCTGGGACAGAGGTTGGGCTGGGAAAGCTTTGGCTGCAAAACCCACGGCTGCTCTGCCAGTGGGTTTGCAGGGGGTGGCCCCATAGCAGCATTTTACCCAGACCTCTGCAGCGCCAGCTCAGTCCCAGGGGAGCACCTCTGCAAAGAGGACTCCCACAACAGGCAGCGGAATGCCAGTCGCCAACACCGTGCCCCATAGCAACAGCCTGCCCCATAACCGGGCAGACCTGCACCCATCCTGAGCCTCAACCAAATTGTGAGAAGGAGGCGCCAGCCATGCCTGGCAGCTGGGACCCCACTACTCGGGCCTGGTGGGTCATCATGGGGTTTTCCTGCAGGAATCACATGATCGACACACATCTGGGGGACCTGCTGGGGCCCGTTGGAGGGGCGAACTGGATAACCTGACAGCCTGGTAGCTAGCAAGACTTTGCTGCAGGAGAAGGCAAGGACTTGGGGAGCAAAAGGGAGGATGCCTCTTTCTGAGAGCTGTTAGCAGCAGTTAAATAAACAATGCAGTGAATAAATCAAATATCGCCTTGTCTCAATTGTGGCTTGCTCCAGTTTTTATTTCCAAGAAGAAAAGCAGCCCGTCACGTGCTGCCATGCCTGGCTGCCGCTCGGCTCCTCCTGGGCGCAGCTCCTGGTGAGGGCTGCGGGGATCCGAGCTAGCCAGCAGACGCAGCCCCCCGCTTCTGCGGCAGCCCCTGGGGGGAGACAAAGCTGAAACCCACTCCCTGCTCCATCAGATCCTTCAGACGGGGTCTCAGGGGTCAAAAAGCAACTCTCTGTATCTCTAACTGAAATTGGAAATGGTGTCCCTGTGCCCACAACTCCAGCACCCCCAGAGCCCAATGCCAGCCAAGCCCGGGGCTTCCCTCCTCACACTGACAGCAGGGCCATGGCTAACTGGGGCAGCACCGTCCCCACCGGGACCTGACAGCGGTTCAGTGACAGCCAGGCCTGCTGAAAGCTCCCAACATCACCTTAAAGCGCAGGGTGTTGATGGCAAAACTTCACCTCGTGGGGACTGCAGGGCAAGCACCGGCACCCGCTCACGCCCACAGCTTTAGCAAAGGGGCACAGGTTCCCAGACCATCTCAGGGAGCAAATGAGATGTCCCCAAGGGCTGCCCCATGCTGGAGCTCAGGTTTATCTGTGCTCCTGCACAGATCAAGTCCAAGCGCACAGATAAAAGTCCAAGCCAGGTGGCTGTTCCTGTGAGGAGAAAGCACTCCAGCCACTGCCTCTGCAGAGCAGCACCCTGCACCCATTGCATGGCCCCGAAAACAGCCCCCCACCAAATGTGTCACTGATGGGGTCCTTCCAGACACTCCCAGGATCACCGTGTTCCCAGACAGGCAGCATGGGATTCCCTCCAGGTCCTCCTGCGCCTCTAGGAATGGGATGCTCAGGTCCCACGCAAGGCCAGTCACACAGGGAAGAGGGTCAGCAGTGGGACACAGGTGGCCATGGAGCCA